GGCCTAAGCCAGCAGGTCGTTATCTCCCGAGGGGTCCCAGACTGCGAGAGGGCACAGGCTGGGCTGAGGGACCCTCCCCTCCCCCCCGAGTGCACAAATTTTTGTGCACCGGGCCTCTAGTACATCAAAATAAAAAGCTTCTGCACAGCAAAAGAAACCATCAACAAAACAAAAAGAGAGCCCACTGTATGGGAGAACAATGATACATCTGATAAAGTGTTAATATCCAAAATATATAAGGAACTCCTACAACTTAACAAAAGGAAGACAAACAATCCAATTAAAAAATGGACAAAGGACCTAAATAGACACTTCTTCAAAACAGACACACAGATCTCCAAGAGACATAAGAAAAAATGCTCGAAGTCACTGATCATCAGAGAGATGCAAATTAAAATGAAAATGAGGTATCACCTCACACCTGTCAGAATGGCTGCCATCAACAAATCAACAAATGACAAGTGCTGAAGAGGATGTGGAGAAAACGGAACCCTGTTATACTGCTGGTGGGAATGTAGACTGGTGCAGCCATTATGGAAAACAGTATAGAGTTTCCTCAAAAAATTAAATATGGAACTGCCATTTGACCCAGCGATGCTACTTCTAGGAATATGTCCTAAGAAACCTGAAACACCAATCAGAAAGAATGTATGCACCCCTATGTTCATAGCAGCACAATTTACAATAGCTAACATCAGGAAACAGCCCAAGTGCCCATCAGTAGATGAGTGGATAAAAAAGCTCTGGTACATTTATACCATGGAATAGTATGCAGCAGTAAAAAAGAATCTCTTACCCTTTGAGACAGCATGGAGGGACCTGGAGATATCATGCTAAGTGAAATAAGTCAATCACACAAAGACAAGTATCACATGATCTCACTCATATATGGAATCTAATTAACAAAATAAACTAATGAACAGCGTGACATGGAAGCAAGGAACAGAGTGCAGAATCTTAGAGGGAAGGCGGGGGAGGGTGGCCGGTGGGAGGTAATCAACCAAAAACCTTGTATGCACATATGCATAACCCAGGGACGCAGAGAGTGGGGTGGTGAGGGC